CTAGGTATAAATCTAACAAATCATATACATATTTGTTACACATGTTGAACCTACAAAACACTGATGAAAGAGGCTAAAGAATACCTAAATTAATGGAGAGACATACCATGTTCATGGGTGAGAAGACTCAATGTAGTTAAGATATCAATTCTCTCCAAATTGATATTCAGATTTAATGCAATCCCAACTAAAATTCCACCAGGATTTTTTGGTAGATATAGGCTGATTCTAAAATATAAGCTGATTCTAAAATTTATGTGGAAAAGTAAAGATCTAGAATAGCCAAAACAATTCTGAATAAGAAAAACAAAGTTGGAGGACTCAAACTATCCAATTTTAAGACATACTATAAAGCCATAGTACTCCAGGCAGTGTGGTATTGGCAAAAGGGTTGACTCATAAAGTAATGGAATAGGATAAAAAATAAAATAAGAAAATACAGAAATAGACCCACATAAAGTGGTTAAATGATTTCTCTACAAAGGAGTAATGACAATTCAATAGAGAACATACAGTCATTTCAACAAATGGTGCTGGGACAACAGGACATCCTCACACCATATACACCTCACAACATATACAAAAATGAATGTAACATAAGCTTCTCTAAGTTCATCCAGGTTGCTGTGAATCATAGTATTTCATTCATTTGTACAGCAGGGTAATATTCCATTGTGTAGATATACCACATTTTCCTTATCCATTTATCTAGTGATGGGCATTTAGGCTGGTTCCAACTCTTGGCTATTGTACATAGAGCTGCAATAAACATGGGAGTACAGATATCCCTTTGATGTGATGATTTCCATTCCTTTGGGTATATACCCAGCAGTGGGATAGATGGGTCATGTGGCAGATCTATCTGTAGTTCTTTAAAGAAACTCCATACCATTTTCCATAATGGCTACACCATTTTACAGTCCCACCGACAGTGTAGGAGTGTTCCTTTTTCTCCGCATCCTTGCTAGCATTTATTATTCTCAGTCTTTGGGATATTAGCCAGCCTAACTGGAGCAAAATGATATCTCAATGTGGTTTTGATTTACATGTCTCAAATGCTGAGTGATGTTGAGCATTTTTTCATTTGTCTGTTGGCCATTTGTATATCTTCCTTTGAGAAATGCCTATTCAGCTTCTTTGCCCATTTTTTAATTGGGTTACTTGGGGTTTTTTGCTGTTAAGCTGTTTGAGTTCCTTGTATATTCCAGATATTAATCCTTTGTCAGATGTATATTTTGCAAATATTTAATCCCACTCTGTTGGTTGTCTTTTCACTCTGTTAATTGTTTCTTTTGCTGTGCAGAGCTTTTTAGTTTAATATAATCCCATTTGTTTATTTTTCCTTTGGTTTCCTGTGCTTTGGGGGTTATATTGATAAAGTCTATTTCCAATCTTACTTCCTGAAGTTTTTCCTCTATTTTTTCTTTTAGGAGTTTTATAGTTTCAGGACATACATTTAATTCTTTAATCCATTTTGAGTTGATTTTGGTATATGGCAAGAGGTAAAAGCCAGGCACAGAAAGAGAAATACTGCATGTTCTCATTTATATGTGGGAGCTAATATAAATAAATAAACAAACAAGCAAACAAACAAATGGGAGAAAACAGACACAACCATCACAATAATTCTTTAACTGTTAAGATAAGTGAAGATATGATATTGATGGGAGTGGGAAAGGCGGGGGGCAGGGAAGGGAGGAATCAGTAAAGGGCCAAGAAAATCAACTACATTGTGTATTGATAAATTGTTTTTTAATTTTTAAAAAATGAACTTAAAATGGATCATAGACCTAAATGTAAACTGTAAAACTGTAAAACTCTTAGAAGAAAACATAGGAGAAAATCTTCATCACCTTGAGTTAGGAAAAGAGTTCTTAAATATGTCATCAAAAATAAGATACACAAAAGAAAAAAATACAAATTGGGCATCAAAAAAATTAAAAATGTTTCCTCTGCAAAGAACACTGTTAAGAAAATTAAAAAACAAGCCACTGACTGGAAGAAAATATCCTTAGTATGAAAAGTGCTCTAAAATCTCAAAAATAAGAAAAAAACCCCAACAGAACAAAAAAGTAGCAAAGGTATAAATGCACATTTAATCAAAGAAGAAATGCAAATGACAATTTAGCACAAGAAAAGATGCTCAGCATCACTAGCCATTAGGAAAATGCAAGTTAAAGCCACAAGGAGATTGCCCATACTGGAATGGGTAAAATAAAAAATAAGTAAATATTGTGATGATACCAAGTGCTGATAAGGATGCAGAAAAATCAAAACTCATACATTTCTGCTGGGGATGCAAAATAGTAAATCCACTCTGAAAAACAGTTTGGCAGTTTCTTGTAAAGTTAAACAAACACCATGTGACCCAGTAATCCCACTATTGAATATTTCCCTTAGAGAAAGGAAAACCTGTGTTCACACAAAAATTTGTATATGAATGTTTATAGCACCTCTATTCATAATAGCACAAGACTGGAAAACAAAACAAATATCCTTCAATGTGTGAATGAGTAAACAAACTATACTTCTCAACAATAAAAAAGAATGAATTATTGATACAACAACATAGATGAATCTTGAATGCATTATGGTAAGTGAAAAAAAACAGTCTCAAAAGGCTACATACTGTATGATTACATTTCCATGACATTTTGGAAAAGGCAAAAATATAGGGACAGAAAAACATCAGTGGTTGCCAGGGTTAGGAGTCAGGGAAGGTCCTGTGGTAACAGATACAAAATTCTATGCATGTGTAAAAGCTGTACGCCAAGCAAAATCAATTTTAATGTATTTAAATTTTAAGATTAAAAAATTAAAGCAAAAAAAATCCTTCTCTCATGTTTCTCTCAAACTTCATATACCCTTCTTTCCTCCCCTCTACCACCAGAAGTCTCTTAAAGTGTCTTCCCAAACTTTGCTAGGTTTTCTCCCAACCATCATCCTACTTATTCCTTAGGGACTCTATCCACTTATTGGCTAAAGACCATATATATGCTGATAACTACTGAACATGTGTCTCCAGCCCAGAACTCTTTCCTAAGCTCCAGACCTGAATGACCAGGTGACTTTCAGCTTCAGTCCCCCCCAAAAAAACCCCATGTACTGTTTTGCTCTCTCTCCTTCTCCCTCACCCTCATCTAATTAATCACCAAGGTGCATTGGTTGTAACTATAATTCCTACATATCTACATATCCAGGGGAAAGCTGTGCACTTTATTCTAATTACCATAACCCCTAGATCACGTGTCATCCATATTACTGCAAAGTCTCTTACCTGGTCTCCCTGCCTCCAATCTTGTCCCTCTTCCAGTCCATTCTCCATACTCCAACTAGAATGATGAAAAACTCAAATTCGTTCATGGCTCCTCCACTGACCTCGGAATAGTCTGAACTCCTTAACACAGTTAACAAGCCCTTTCATGATCTGGCCCCTGCTCATCTCTCCAGGCTACTCTCTCATGATTTTCAACTCTGAAGCTTCCTATCCACCAGTACTATCTCCACACTCTGTGCTTGAACCACATTCTACTGCAGTCCCTCAAACATGCCCCTGCTGTTTCCCATGACTGGGATGCTTCCTCAGCCACCCCCACCTTCTCCACCCCAGCCCCATTCAGCTGGCTAATTAATATTTATTCTCCAGGTTTCAGCTTCCACATCACTTATTCAGGGTACCACTGATTGACCCCCACAGCTGAGCTATATGTCCCTTCTGGGTGCTATCATAATATTGTTACAAGAGACTTTTATTCTGTGTTGTAATGGTCTACTGTCTGTCTCCCACACTAGATTGTAAGCTCCTTGAGGGCAATAACTATGTCTTGTTCACATTTTAGTACAGTGCCTGTCTCATGGTAAGTATTCAATAAATATTTCTTGAATAAATAAATGAGGAGGGGGAGATAGAAAACTGTCTCAGATTATACGTCATTATTTTTCCTACCCCTTTCTAAATTTTCTAAGTATTCTATGATGAACAAGCATTGCTTTTATAATCAGAAAATAATAATACATATTAATATTAGAATTAATTTTAAAGGTGTATTGAGCATACTCATAATAGAAAAGAGAAAAAACTATGAAGAAAATTAAATCACCCATAATCCCACCACCTAAAGAGAACTCTTGTTAACATTTTGTTATAACCTTTCCAATATTTTCTATGAATATATTTCTTAAACATTGAGACCTTATTGTGTTCTCGAATTCTGCTTTTTTCATTAGTACAAAAAGTAAATTCCTGTTATATCAAGGTACTGTTGTTTAACCATTTCTCTACTGTCCAACATTAAGATTTTATCCAATTTTTCATGATTATGAATAAGGCCATGTATAATATCATTGAACATAAATCTTTTCCTCATTCATAATTATTTCCATAGAATAGAATCCTACAAGCAAAATTACTGAAACGAACTTCTTAAAGACTCAATGTGTATGGCCAAATTGTTTCCAGAAAGCTTATACTAATAATAGCTATGTGAGGGCCTACTCTGTGCCAAATATTGCTTTAGGTAGATCTTATTATGCCTATTTTACAGATGAGGAAAGTAAGGTCTATTGACATTATTTCCCTAGAGTCATGGAGATAGCAAGAGGCAACACTATAATTCAAATTCAGAATTGCCCAATTTCAAAGCTCATGTTATTTCCATGTGGATTTAAAAAATAAATATTTTTGAATTATCAAATTATATATTTAATAAAGAAAATGTGGAAAATACAGGTAGAAAGTAGAGAAAATGAAAATTACCCATGAATCCACCACTTTCAACAGTTTAGTGTTTTGTTCCAAATACAATTTTTGGGTTAAAAATAACTATAACATTGTATATATAATTTTGCATCCTGCCTTTTTTATTTAACATATTTCAATGCTTACCCATACTCTTCATAAACAACATTTTAATGGTTGCATATTATTGTCAAATGAGTGTTAGCATGTAAATACTTACAGTTGTTCAGCTAACCTGTGAATTTTTTCTTTTCATTTCTAGGACCCACCATTTCCCATGAAGCTTAGAAAGTTCAATGTTGGGAACCATTCTAACCTTCAAAATAAGCCACCATGTTGGATTAAAAGCTTCACAATTGAAAACATCCCATCAAATACTTGCTGTGCAGATGTTTCAGGATTTTACAAGTTACTTAATTTACTGACTGAACTCCAATTTGGTAGCAATTAATTCAGATCAGTTTCCCCTTCTTTCTTCATTTCCCCTCCCCCAATCCATGAAAGTCTAAATGTAAAAATATGTATCTTTCATTCATCTTGTCAGGTAAAAGGGAATTCAGAAGACTTCCTTAGAGTCTTTAATTCCTACAGAAGACTATTAATCACATCTTAGGGTCTTTTTTGGTATTGAGGGGAATCAGACTCCATTTGCTGCTTGCATGCACGTGCATTTATAAACATGTATATGTGCAGCATATCTATACAAAATTCTGCTATGGTGTCATGAAAATCAAGGTTAAAAAATTTGGAGGCTTTTATTTAATCATACTTTTCCCCTAAAGAGCAATTTAAATATTTGTTGAACTTTGAACCATCCCTGTATGAGGTATCTAAAATTTGAGAGGGAGATTCAATACACTGTGACCAAGGTCCTCAAATTGGGAACTTAACAATAGTGTAGAGCCTATTCTCTGTCACAGAGGTTCCTGGAAGCACCACAGCTAATAGAGAAGATCAGCCTTCTTTATTAAACATAACAATGAGTGTTTTAAGGACTTTTAATGCCAGACTGTGGTAAAATTCTTTAATTACTTTTATTCATTTCTCTGTTACCTAGCTTTATTTTAGCCTCTATACATTACCTTTATGATGAAAGAAAAACTATGAGCCTAAGTTATGGACCATAGGTTTTGTTAAGGACTTTAAGGGTCATTTTGATTTTCAGGTTTAATTACAATACTGTCCATAGTGGTAAAATTTCACAGATGACATTACCCTGAGGATTAGTACTAAAGATGCTGTGTTTTCACACAGGGGTTCAGGTACAGTGATAACCGAAAAATAATGTGCCAATCCTTTCTTTCTTTAGCTTCAGTGGTCGCTCAGCCATTAAGATGGTTTACATCCATTTCCCCATTTATTTATAATCAGCCTTTCTTTCTTTCAGTCCTAGTGCCTGAATCAATGAATATGGACAATAATGCTGCTTCTTTATAATAATAATACCTAGGAGTACTGATATTTTTTCATTTTTCAGCCAGTGCTCTAGTGCTCAGCTGTTGACAATAAAAGCCCCAAATCTTACAGAGATCAGTGGGAGTTAGAGGCATCTTACAGAAATCAAGGAATTAAGCTCCTAGAGGGATAGTTATGTCTACTAAATTATCCTCCTGAAATCTTTCTGAGTAAAAAAAGAGGTGCCTGCCACAAACAATTCAGTATTGCTCCAGTGGCACTGAGAAGGTGTTGCTCCAGCTACTTAGAGCAACAACAAAACCTGTTCATTTGGACCCACTAGGTAATTTTGACTGAGGTGAAACTTTTAGCATATATTAAATGGATTGTGGTCAGCATTTCTATGACAGAATACTAGACATGACTAAATCTATTAGGGTCAGGGACTGTTTCTCACACTCAGAAGCTAAGAAGCAGCCTGGAAGACTATGCACGCTGGGTTTCATGATGAAATTTTATATGTACTAATGGAAAAATGCTTCCCATTCCACTCTCTCTCTAAAACATTCTCTTGTTTAAGGTTCTCTTGAAAGCTTATTTGACTGTCTACATGGTCTTATGATGGACAAGCCTTGCCTTCTGTTCTTTTAGAAATGGACCTTTCTCTAAATGTAGGGCCATTACTTACTCCACAGCCAGTGGGCCTCAAAGCAATCTTCCCCTTTCACATCTATCATCTTCTGCCAAGAGTTTAAGCAGAGCAGCTGCTAACTATGATTCAAAGTCAGGAAGGCATCAAGAACTTCTTTGATGCATGGAATATATCAGCACTCAGTTCTCACAGAAATCAGGTCACAAAAGACAGTATCAGGAAACTACAGGGAAGCATTGGAAGGATAAAGCTCAGGACAGCTATGATGCAAAGCTGATTGTTTAATATCTTACACACTTACACTGTCTTCAGAAGGCCAAATAAATCAGGGGTTTGGAGAAAAAAAGAAACCCTATTCCTATCTTAGCACCTTGATCCCTCTAGTTTATAGACTCTGATAATATCCCTATCCACGGATCATTTGAGTATTTGCTACTGTACATAGGCATCCAACTGGTTGATTATCGATCAAGAATTCAGAGAAGTTTGTCTAATAATTACCATACCCTGATCTGGCTCCTTTGCTTCCTTTTCCTTGGAGCCCTGTTCAATAACCTCTGTGGGGTCTCATTCCCCAATCTTTGCTACTCATCTTCCCCATTTGCAAAATGAAGAAACTCACTGTTAGGATCCTACAGCTGAAAGGGGCTATGTAACTCCCTAGTGCTCTTACATCTTTAATTGCAGGACTGGAATGAAAAGTTTAACCATACCAGTATTTCTAAGCAAACTAGTTGCTCCATTCTTTCTTCCATGTACATTGTTGAGCTTAGAGTACTATGTTATTCTATTTGTTCTAACAATGTCCTTGGAAAGAGACAGAACAGAAATTATTTTCCTTCAGGCTGGCTGGTTAGCTCAGTTGGTTAGACCACCGTGTGTCATAACACCAAGGTCAAGGGTTCGGATCCCTGTACCAGCCAGCCGCCAAAAAGAAGAAGAAAAGAAAAAAATTATTTTCCCCATGGTACAACTGGAAAAATTAAGGGCAAAAGGTTGAAATGCCCTCCAAAAGTACATAGCTGCCTTGCGCAGAGCTCACAGTTACCGTGTCCTGTATGCTGTCAGAGCTACTTGGCTTCCCAGTACTGGAATTACTAATTAGCAGCTTAGAATATTGAAAGCAATTAGAACAGCATCACATTCTAAAAGAGCCCCACTTTCTCCAAAATTTAAAATGTGCAATTTATACAACTCTTATTTTCTATGAAATAGAAATGCAAAATTCACCTCTTTCCCCCACATGCCCCATATGACATATTTTTCAGACTATGTGGCATCAGCTAGTGCCATGATCTCCTTTGGCACCCATATAGCCCAATTTCAGGGCTGTCTTTGCCAGGGAAAAGAACGTGCTTCCCCATTGCACAAAGTGTAGACATTGAAGTTAATGGAGATTTAAGCACAATTCTAGCAGGTATGTTTTAAGAATATTGAATATACATTATTGTAATGTGCACCTGAAATTTAACAAGGCCCAAATCCACAGGAATGTAACAGTCATTCAAAGCCTACCCCTTTCACCTCTCATCACACATATCTACAATCTACATACATGTGTGCACATGTACATGCACACGCACATATACAAACACTTCCCCAAAGCAGGCTGCTTGGTCATCAGGAGCAAATACTTTAATGGAATGATTCTCTGTCCTCTCCTTTCAAGAAAAAAAAGAACATTCCACTTATACATTAGAGAACCTCTGCTCTCAGAGTGGCTAAGAGACTCAGTTGGTGTAAAAGACATGATCTGTGCAGAGGCACAGAGGGCATCTGATAAGATCATCAGACCCTTTCACAAGTCCCATGTTTTTAAAAAATTCATGAGATCCATCAAATCAGTAGGAAACGGTTGATGAGGTATAGTACATCTGCATTTAACCATGTTGTAATGTACCATATCGAGTTGTAACCTTTTGCATGTGGGTGGTATGTAATATAATAATGAATGGGTGGCTCCTAATAGCATGCAATCCATGACTGTTTACTTCACCAAAAGGGGTAGGGCTGTGTCCTACACAGTGCTCAGAACCATTAAAAGTGTTCTTTGGAACAGCCTGGAACATGGTCATCAGCAGAATGAGTTAAAACAAACAATGAATTGCGTACATCAGGAAATAGATTCTTAGTATGGCATGACAGTTAAAGAAAAAAAATGACAAGATGCATTCCAGGAATAATTGCTTTCACCCTGCTGGCTAAATCAGCAAAGGAACACAGCAGGAAAGCTGGGACTGGGTCGGTCTTGGTTACATATAAACTGTACTGGAGAACCAGAAAAAGAAAGACACTGGGGACCTCAGCAGTTAAGCTCAAGTTACCAATTTGCTACAAGTCATTTTTTCCACCAATCTGCTCAAAGTGATTGTATATGGTATTCTTAAAACCATGTGTCTTGCTGCAGAAATACTGACAAATGCTGGCCAGCTTTATCTTCCTATGTCCTTTATTAAAAGTATATGCATAAAATCGTTTCTTTTCTATTATATGGTTTTGCCAAACAATGTTGGCAAAGCCTAAAGTTTCAGACCACTGTGATGGAAGTTTCTATACATCTCATTTCATGGGGTTATAGTGGAGTTTATTCACTTCCAAGTTGATTGGTATGTGTGATATGTAGACTCCTCTGTAACATATCTTCTGAACACCACCCCCCATGTGTTCAGCATTCCTCTCCGATGTTCCTACATGAATATGAGTTGGGAAATTAGCAGCAATGGCTTTTAGATACAAAGCTGACCAGTCTAATGGCACTTAATCATATTCAGTCTCTACTCAGCTTCACATCTTTTGCCTTTCACTCTGCCATTGTGTTAAGCAAAAAGAAAAAGAAAGAACTTGTCTTATGTGCCTAAGGGTGATTTGAACTCTGGTTTGCTTTTTCTTATACTGAAGGCTATGTTTATTATTCTCCAGATACGTGTCACCTGAAAAAGAGAATACAGTGGTCCTGAAAGAAGAACATAGTAGCCAACTTGCTCCTAAATCGTACATTAGCCTCAGAGAAATATTTGAGGAGACTCTCATTAGGTAAGCCCCAAATAAGGTTTCCCTCAATAGATGCACCATTTGCACAAAAAATCCTTTTCAGACAGAAGGGAGAAAGCCCCCAATTCACCAACGAGGAAGGCAGAAGTCATTGAAAATGCAGAGCATTGAAAGCTGAAGTTTGGAACAGTCATTGCTGACTGTGTGACTAAATAATAATGGAGAACTTGCATCACTTAGGAGAGGCCCAACCCATAGAGATCAGGCTTAACACAAAGCCAGAAAAAAGTCTTTTATTCCAGTTAAGCTTATAAAAACTGGTACTTTGTACTAAGTAAAGACCTCAAATATCTCTGCTGAAAATCCCATTTCATTTTTTCCAATGCATCAGCTACAAACAGCTTGAATTTGC